GGGGGGTGTTTCTTATAGGTAAACACACAAGAAGAAAGAAAATAGGATTGCGAAAAAGTCTCCGAGAAGAACTAATAGGGTAACCCTCCCCTTTCCACTTATCTCTTCTTCCCGTAAAGAGAAAAAAAGAAAGAAGAAAAGGGAGCAAGCAAACATGCAAGTCTCTCTTCACAACAAAGTGAAGACATACAATCTCACCGCTGGTAAGTCGCTACCAGAGTGGATCAGTGAACGTAAAAAGAATAAGCGACTCGCTGGTGGTGAACACCGAATTGAACTCATTCACGATCTTGAGTTTCCACACTTTGCCCGTACTATCTTCCGTTCAGCGAATGGCACTCACCTTTTCGCTGCTGGTGATTATCCACCACGACTAAAATGCTTTGATGTGAATCAACTCAGCATGAAGTTTAGTTTCAACGCTGATATGCCTATTCTCGGCGGTGTATCTCTTTCACCCGATTTCCGCAAATTTGCCCTACGCGGAGAAGGGCGTCAAATCACTGTTCATCATTCAGCGGCTATTGTGGATCGTGTGCGAGTGCCCCACACGATGCGATGTCTTGCCTATCATCCACACACAGCGGAGTTACTCTCCAGTGGCACCTCACATGAAATATTTCGCCTTAGTTTAGAGACCGGTGCCTTTGTAGAAAGTTACAAAACACAATCTGAGGAAGGTGTTAATCATGTGGAGGTGTTTAAACAACATGGAATGGTACTTTGTGCGGGTGTGGATGGTGTGGTGGAGGCATGGGATAGTCGTTCCTCTTCCTGTGCAGCACGGTTAACAGTTGCAGGTCCTGGTGCTTCTTCTGGTATTCATGAAGCCTGTGAGTTGCGGCATATTGCGGCGGATGATGAAACTGGTCTTCTGTTTAGTTGTGGAACAGAGGCAGGACAAGTGTTATTATATGATTTACGATTACATAAACCACTTATTGTTAAAGATCATATGAATTCTTTACCTATTGTTAAAACGTACTTTTTCCAGGGTCGTAGTACTTCAACTGGTGAAGCTACACATGTGCTTTCTGCAGATACTCGTTCACTAAAGGTATGGAGTAAAAAAGATGGGAGTAACTTTACAAGTATTGAAACTCCTGCAGATATTACAGATTTTTGTCTTCTGCGTAGTCAACATAACATGGTGGAACCTTATGAATGTAGTGACAGTGGAGTTGTGTGTATCTGTTGTGATACCCCACGTGTACAAGTTCACTTTATTCCTCAACTTGGTGTAGCCCCACGATGGGCATCCTTTTTAGAACTTCTCACAGAAGAACTTGAAGAAAAGGAAGTCACCACTGTATATGATGATTATACATTTATTGCAAAGGAAGAAATGGATGCTCTTGGTATGACAGCAGAAGATTTGGCAGGTGGAAAGGTAAGACCTGTTATGCATGGTGCTTTTATTGAAAATGGATTACTGCGTGAACTGAAGGCTGTAGTGGACCCAGGGGCATTTAATCGATATGTACAGGAGAGTGCCAAGCGCAAGACACAACAACGATGGGAGAATCGTATCAGTAAATTTAAACGTGTTCCTACTAAAGATGATGATGAAGAAGAAAATGGGGGAAATGTGGGAGAACGCCGGTTAACAGTCAAAGGTGAAGCCTTGGCCGCCGCAAAGGCGGATCCACGATTCCAAAAGGCCTTCACCGGCAGTCAGTCAACTTCCTTCGCGTTGGATCCCAACAATCCGGAATATGCGAAACTGCTGCATATCATTCACGAACGCCGTGCAGAGGCCAGTCGACGACGTCAACGGTATGAGTCTGATCTCTTCTCCATCGTCCCGGATGAGGAGGCCCACCGTGATGAGGATGAGGATGAGGATAACAACAATAATAATAAAGATAATGCTATGAATGGTTCATATCAGAATGGGGATGAGGCGAGAAATCATTTGAAGGGCGTGCAGAGTAGCGGCAGACCACAGCGACGACGACGACAACGCAACACACCAGAAGAATCACAATCACAATCACAACAACAAGAGTCTAAACGGCAAGTGACATTATATGAGGCGAAGAAAGATAATCGTATCTCCTTCACCAGTAATGATAAAGTCATTCACGCCGCACGTAAACGGCAGCGAATGGAGAAGTTGACTCTGGAGGAACGCCTTCAGCGGATGTCAGCCTAACAAATGATAAGAAGAAGAAGAAGAGCAGCAGGAAGGAGACAGAGTAAACAGAATGAGAGAAAAAGAAAAGAAGAAAAAAAAAGAAAAAAAAAAGATGAAAAAAAAAAAGAAACAACAAAAAAAAAAGAGATAACTCATGCCAAATTTGAAGGCACCACGTACTTCGTTTAAACAAGAAATATATGATGATTATGATGAAAGAAAAAAGAAATTTGAATAATTTTTTTCTTTTCTCTTTTTTTTTCTCCCCTTTCGTAACGTCAACTCTTTTTATTTTTTCTTCTTTTATTTATTTCACTCTGGGTATATCTGCTTCTTTATCTGTGTTAAGTATCTCCATTATTAGTCCTTATTTTTATTTTTTTATTTTATTTTTTGCTCCACTACGGTAGGGGTGGGGGCAAGACAAGAGAAGAAACACAGACAAAATATATCTATATATGTGTGTAAAAAAAAAAAAGGAGAAATAATAATAACAACAACGAATAACGAAAGTACAAAAAAGGGGAAAAAACAATTCATTGACCGTACAAGAGGAGGAATTTAACGTAGATTAGAAAATACGTAATGTCTTCAAAAGTCGAATCGATAGCAATCACTGGAGAAAGGAAGAACAATGCCGTGGGATTTAAGGGCAATAACTCCACCGGAATTATAAACAGCAATCGTGTAGGGAAGGAACTTGATATTAAGGTGGTTTGTGTGGGGGCAGCCAATACCGGTAAAACAACATTTCTTCGTTATTGGGAATCTGGTGAATGTCCTTTGCATTTATCCACAACCATTCAAATGGAATTTCACAGGCGTGAGATGACCATTGCCGTACCCTCATATGCCTACTATGAGAAGTCACACCGCTGTGAAGAGGCTTCTTCTTCTTCTGTTAATAATAATAATAACAGTAGTTACCAGGAGTGTAAAGTGCGTTCACAACATTCATCTCATAAAACCACTCAATTACCTATTCCTACTACTCCACCTAGTATATCTAGTGGAAATAATAACTGGAATAATGGTAATAGTAGTAGCAGTAATAGTAATAACTACAGTTCATTGCAGAATCCATTTGGAGATGATTATCGTATTATACCACCGAGTATGCCTTCTTTTTATACTCCAGCCACTTATTGTAGTTCTCGTAGTGATAGTGATAATAATAATAATAATAATAATAATGACAATGGTGACAAGGATAATGAACAGGTAGAGTGGTCACTTACCCATGTACCAGCTATTGTTAAAGTGTGGGATATACAAGGTCAAGAGAGCACTAAAAAGATGACGCGAATATTTTATACAGGAGCTATAGCAGTACTTATATTTTGTGAAATAAGCAGTAGTAGTGATTCTCTTGCTAATGCCCTTTCATGGAAGAATGATGTTGAACAGAAGATTTTTATTCCCAAAACGAAATGGCCAAACTCTACTAGTAGAAACCCGGTCCATCAAAAACAACAAAAACAACAACAAGAAAAGCAAGAAAAAGGAGAATCGATGGAAAAGGAGGAATATGCAAATCCACCTTGTTGGCTTGTTGTGAACAAATATGATCTTCTCTCTCTTCTTCCCACACCGCCTCTCTGGGCATCCCACACCGCACTGGATCACTGGTGTGCCCAACACGACTTTGCGGGTTGGACGTACACCGCTGGTCGAAGGGGTATTAATGTGGAGGCGGTCATGCAGGCTCTCATTGCGGAGGCAGTGAGGCGATTTCCACAGCAGTTCTCTATTGTTTCTGGTAAAAGGAATAATTCTGGTAATCATACAAATGATGATGATGATGATAATGATGATGATATGGCAATAGTGCCTCGAACACGGAATCGGCAGTATAAACGCCCTGAAGGTGGATGCTGTAGTAAGTGATGTGCAGCGTAAAATGGAAATAAAGAGAGAGAAGTGAAAAAAAAAAAAAAAATGAGGGTTGATGATCGAAGGAGTGAAAAAAAAAAAGGGACTTTTCCCTCACTTTTTTTTTTTTATTTTTATTTTATTATGGGAGAGAATGGGGATTTCTTCTCATATGTATACCATGGATAAAGTGGATGTGAATTATGTGAAGAATTCTTCTTCTATTATCATTTGTATTCTTCATTATTTATTGCTTATTATCAGTTTTTGTCTCTTTTGAGATCGCGGTTTTTATTTGTTTGCTTTTTTTTGTTTTCTTTTTTGGACTCTCAGTTCCTTTCTCCTTTTTAAAATACTTCCTTCTCTTTCTGTGGCTGTTTGTTTTTACATACTCAGAAACGTGCTTGCGGTTGTTGTTCTCATTTTTTTCTTTCTTTCTTACTCTTCACCTTTCCTTCCAGTTAAGTACATTATAAAATAAAACATTTAAAAGATAGGAAGGCGGCCTCTAATAGTAACACAAACTACCCAACGGTAGTTGAAGTACTTGGGAAGCAAAAAAAAAAAAAAACAAGTATATATATATACTTAATAGAGTGTGGTGTAGTTTGGTGTAGTTTAGTGTTGTTTTCGCATAATTTATTTTTTTTTTTTTTTTGTTTTTTTTATTTATTTATTTATTTATTCCCCCCTTCAGCGGTTCTTTCTGCGTATTTTATTCCTCGCTGCAGAATGCAATTGGCGCGGTGGAAGCCCGATAGTGCCTCCTCCGCCTGTGATGGTTGTGCGAAAACATTTGAGTTCTTTCGCCGTCGACATCATTGTCGACTTTGTGGAGATATATTCTGCCACACTTGTTCCAATTACGCACTCCCACACAAATTACTCCAGCAATGGTTAGAACTCTCCAATAATAATAATAATAATAATAATAATAATAATAATAAGAATAAGAATAAGAATAAGAATAATAACAGTGGTGTGTTGCCATCATCGCCGACGGGAAATGAAAGAGAGGAGGGATCATCCTATCCAATCATGCAGCACCTCACTCGACTCTTACACCGCAGAAATGATGATGTTCAGACATCCACCGCCTCCACTTCACTGCAGTGTCCAACAACACCGACAAGAGAAGAAAAGAAAGAGTTGAAGGGATCCGCATTCGTATTATCATCCTTAGCCCAATGGGCACCCACTACCATGCATCGTATTTGCAAACAATGTTATCAGAAGGTGATGGCACATCCCATATCCCGCATGAACAGTGGAGTTTTCTATACACATAATACCAAAGAAAACAACAGTACTGCCCTCTTAAGTAGAACTAGCAGTATTAGCAAGAGAAGTACAGGTGGGGTGGTGATGGAGCCACACCCACCACGTCCGCCTATATGTGGACGTGAACGTAAAGTCTGTGTAATCATGTTGCAAGGGAGTGGATCTGTGGAGAAGGAGGAGTGTACGGGATTAACAACCGCACTGGACACACTTGAGCAATTTGTTAATCGACAACACATCGCCTCCTCTACGGGGAATGTGAGCAGTAAAGAAACAACCCCATCGCTTGGACCTTCTATCAGTTCCGCCTCTGATCTCTCTGGAAGTGAACGCAATACTCTTGGGATCACGGCACGCTGTAAAGATACACCCACAAAGAGCCGACGGCGGAGTTGTGAACGATTTACATCTAGTAGTGCGGCCAGAAAACACCGCAGGAAGTTAGCCTTGCATGTGCCTCTCTCCTTCATTTCAGAAGAGACACCCATTGTTAATAATAATAATAATAATAATAATAATAATAATGATTCCTCGCTGCTGGTTCGCACGCAGGTGGTGACGGTTACCCACCGCCATGGATTCGACAAGGCGCTTCTCCAGCAGCACACGATTGGCACCGATGCGTATATTCTTCTCCTCGACTCGGACGGCGGGTCGGCGGTGGAGGCGGCAGCCGTCGGCGGGAATGTCTCCACCACCGCCACTGCGGGATTCTACGGCTGGAGTGGATTCCACACTTCCCATCCTCTTTCTCTTTCTCATCATTCTCATAATATGAATAATAATAATATTAATAATAATATTAATAATAATAATAATAATAATGAGAATAATAATAACGGCCCATCATCGCAGGCATTTCCTACGGAGAAGTCTCTGGCGATGGTGCGGGGTGTGTGGGAGGCGGTGGAGCACTACGGCGGCGATACGCCCATCTGCGCAGTGGTGGATTGCGTCCCCGCGGCGGAAGTGGGAGAGACCGCAGCCGAGAGGGAATTCATTTACTTGGGCAGTCCGCATCCTCATGATAATAGTGATAATATTAATAATAATAATAATAATAATAATGGAGGAGGAGGTGCTTCTCATATGGGGATAAATGCGAAGGAACAATGTGCAATGTATTTGCGCTGTTGCCGAGATGAGGATCCGCAACTCGCATCTGCAGAGAGACAGGCGACATCACTTCACCGTGCGCTTCTTCTTGTGTTGGGAGAAGTCCTCCGACGAGATCTGAAAAGACAGGAAGAGTGAGTGAGTGATGGAGTGAGTGCGTATATATATATATACATATATATGTCTTTTTCTTTATTTCTCTTTCTTTATTCTATTTGTGTGTACTCTGTGAAAAGAGAGAGAAAAAGGAGTAAAAAGGAAAAAAATATAGAAATCCGAGGGAAATATCAATTTCAGAAATTACAATTGTGTTTCCTCTATTGTCTTGCCTTCGTTTCTTTTCTTTTCTTTTCTTTTTTATGATTGTTTTTTTTTTTTTTGATTTTTCTTTATTTATATATATATATATATTTGTATTTATATTTATATTCTTACCGTGTCTTCTTTGTGTTGGGATTCCACCATGGCATCAGTTATACATATATATATATATATGATGGAAGAAGTAGAAAACACAAAGAATTGAAGGTTTAATGAGAATGATTTAAGCATCGAGAGAAATGATGATTTTGTTTTTTGTTTTTTGTTTTTTGTTTTCTTTTTTATTGCAGAAAAATAACAACAAGAAAAGAAAAAATAATAATAATATAATAAAGAGGAATCAAAAAGAAAAAAAAAAAAAAAAA